ACACACACACACACACATGCATACACACGTAGGCTTACAATCACATGCATAATATCAATGAGCAGCAATATAAACAATAATAATCTTAAGTGTACACAACATTATAATTTTGAAAATTCTTAAGACTCCAACCCACAAAAAGGCACTTTTTCCCCAAGAAATAACAAACATAATCACAAGAGATGCCTTTCTTGTTTTTTGTTTGTTTTTTTGGGGTTTTTTTTAGTAAAGAGAGGTACATTGACACAATAACGGTTATTTAGTGCTGCGGGAAAAATAAGACAGACAGACAGATAAAAACAACAGAAGGAAAGAAAAGAAATTAAACAAACCTGTGGCGTCCTCCAACCACCCACCCACAAGGGACAAATTATAAATAATGTACGTATAATATTATAATGATTATATCATATGGCTATACAGACCCGTGCTTGAGCTTGTTATTGACAATGGAGTGAGTTATCAAAGACATAGATAAAACCATTTATTTGAGCCTATTGTTCGTCGCGTTCCTTCACTCGACCTGTCAATGCTACAGATAGCGTTATCTATCTCTCCACGGTTAACCATCAGAGACAAAGACGCGCTAGAGGTGAGAGAATTGATGGCCATGCACTGTACAATCGGTTATCAGTTCAAACAAACAAGACCTAACTATTTAGCACTGCCAAAGTGATCAATTTAGTTTTAGATGAGGTTTTACGGCGCTCGCAACTGTATAAGGTCATATGAGAGCCAAGGGGTGGATGTCAGCAGAGAAGTCCAAACGGGGAATCAGGCTTACTCTGCTCACCTCTCTAGCCTCAACAGCACAGAGTCTGCTTCGACTATCAAGGCGTCTCGGAAATAGCAGTTCACAAGAAAGGGACAAATACACAAAAGAAGTAGAGGGAAAATGACGATAGTAAGGATGAGGAAAGAAAAAGTAGCAGTTCTCCCTGTGTTGTTCCAGCACAGTATGAGCATGACATTGATAAACCAGCCCATTAACAATTCTGCTGTGCATAAGACCATGTAAATATCCCCCTTTGGGAATGGCCTACAGACACTTCAGTCAGTAGCACCGCCTATGCTACTATTCCACACACACCATTATCTTTCTTTTACAAACATGTTCAGTTACAAATCAGAAGACAATTAAACTAAGCATGTTTGTTTTCGCCTCCGTACAAATCGTTGTGCTGAAACAGAAACTGGAACTCCGCCAACTGTCACTGTCACTGTCACTGTCACCTCTGACAGGGAAAAAAGTACGTGTTTTTACGCCCCCATCGACACAAGTTCGATCATTTAGGAGGCGGGCTTCTGACCCTGCCTGTCAGGGCCCACCCGGGCTCAGAGGGATACAGCATCCCGACAGAAAGACTGCAGAGATACTCGGTTAAAAAAAAAAAAAGCAAA